GATAATGACGTACTACTAACTAAACAAAATGCTGCACATCTGCTTTGTAGTTCACGATCTAAACGGAAACGATATAGTTCATTTGGGACAACATGACTGATGCAATTCCAAACGACCCCAAAGAAATAGCTTTCCACAAGTGAAAACAACTTGATGCATGTATCAAATTTGAGGAGAGCAAGCGCAGCGATGGACACGCAGCGTTTTTCACAGTGCGGAGTTCCAGACCTACCAACAAGTGCAGACGCCGCCTCTTGGTTCTCCTGAGGGTCCCCATAATCCGCCGACCCATCTTTTTAGCATACCACACCGAGTTGAGCATTGTGGACAGGCTGTGTGGGGGTTCACGCTCTGGTGAAATAAAACTTGCGAATCCCCAGAATCTGACCTGCCCCCCTCCAACCTCTTCTTACGCAGGCATCTCAGAGGCAGTTTCCGCACATTGCTCGTGCCCGTGACAAAAACATGTGGCGCAGGTGCCTACGAAGAGCAGCACGCCGGTAGCAGGAGAAAACAGATAGGCTGCCTGACGCACACACAGGAACTGCAGCAAAAATAAAAGGCTTTACAATCAGTGCATCCCCTTTAAGGCTGCTCGTTTCCCCCCTCTCTCTCTCTCTCTCTCTGATGCAGTTTCTGGATGAGATCGCGGCTGTGCAGTGGTGGGATGTGAGCTCGGTGCAGACGGCTGCAGGTGCCTGCGTTCGTGTCAAAATGAGTCAGCAGGAAGACTGGGTGCTTGGCTTGGCTAGCACTGAGCGTGCTCCGCTCTTGACTGCCTGAAAGAAATTAGCCTACAGGTCTGCGATGCGGGCGGCGCGCCAATGCTACGTCTCTCTGATAAACGGCTGCAGATTGATAAAAGAGCACTTTTTTTCCATCCTTCGTCACGTTGTCTTGGAGATGATGAGGCTGGGTTACATCCTTTTCCCGTGTCGGTGGAAAGTCCCGGGTTGCGACCTCTTAGGATTCGGCGTACTCTTTAAATGCTTTTCTTTACTGTGCCATCAAGCCAATCAACTTTGCCTCACAGGGAGAGATATATCTAGACTGACGTCACTGACGGGAAATGGGAGGCAGCTCAAGGCTCATGATTTGTATGAGAAAAGTGGCTGAAGGACACAGCCTCACCTCAACCCCACACCAACACCCCTCGTTCTTAGAGGAAAAGACTGACTCGTTGTAGGCCTGAATAAGCACTTCCACCTCAAATAAAGTTGCACCAGAGGAGTTCGAAATAGAAATATGCTATACGTTAAGGCTGCACAATATTGATTAAAAAATGACTATGCAACATTTTATTTTGCTGTAACATATTGTGATTGATTGACTGACTCTATTTGTGAGAAATTAATTAATTCAGAATGGTTGATTTTGTAGGGCTGTGCATCTAAATTATTACACTCTAAAAATGTTGGGTCAAACGTAAACAAACACAAACATTGAATTAAAAAGTCTCACTTCTGTCATGACAACTCATGAATTTTATTGTATTTGGTCTTGGCGGAATAGACCTGCTATGCTGCTGCTGCTGCTTTGATTATTATGGCAGAGCAAGTACCAAGACTTCTATATAGTATATTCCAGACATGGAGTCAGAGATTATAACACAGTGCTGCTGCAAGCATAATATACAGTTGAAGTCAGAATTATTTGCCTCCCTGAATTATTAGCCCCGTTTAATTTTTCCCAATTACTGTTTAAAAGGGAGATTTTCTCAACACATTTCTAAACATAATACTTTTAATAACTGATTTATTTTATCTTTGTCATGATGACAGTAAATAATATTGGACTAGATATTTTTCAAGACACTTCTATACAGCTTAAAGTGACATTTAAAGGCTTAACTAGGTTAATTAATTTAAGTAGGCAGGTTAGGGTAATTAAGAAAGCTATTGTATAACAATGGTTTGTTCAGTAAACTATTGAAAACAAATATCGCTTAAAGGGGTTACTAATATTTACCTTAAAACGGCTTTAAAAATTTAAAAACTGCTTTTAATTCTAGCCGAAATAAAACTAATAAGACTTTCTCCAGAAGAAAAAATATTATCAATGTATATGTAACCCCCGTAGCAGATCTAAACACAGGTGGAGCTGGGTTGGAGGAGGTTCTCGGAAAAAAAGTGCTGCACATGCTAGCGTAAAACAACACTTAGTTTTTAAAATGCTTAGGAGCAAGCTCATTGGCTGCTGAGGCCACAGCAGCTATATAGTCAATGGCGCAGGGTCAGATTAGATGATTTATAGCAGATTATATTTTTCTTCAAAGTCTTAATCACAGTTGGATGTAAATTTTGAAAAATCTAATGTAGCATGACATGTCATAGACTTGAGGAATAAAAAGATAAGGCCTCTAGATCACGCTTATTTTACCCAAATAAAATATGACCATGCCTTGATTTTAAATGATTTAATTAGCACAGTAAGGTCTGACTTTACTTAGACAAAAGTCTTGTCACTTAACAGAAATAATGTCCAGTATAGAATATAAAGTCATGCTGCAGTGGAGAAAGAATGAATATTGTGCATGACTCCATCATGAACTTGGAGGACTGCATCCTTACATCTCTGCAATGACTCAAATCACTTATTAATAAAGTCATCTGGAATGGCAAAGAAAGCGTTCTTGCAGGACTCCCAGAGCTCATCAAGATTCTTTGGATTCATCCTCAATGCCTCCTCCATCTTACCTCAGACATGCTCAATAATGTCATGTCTGGTGATTGGGCTGGCCAATCCTGGAGCAGCTTGACCTTCTCTGTATTCAGGAACTTTGATTTGGAGCCTGAAGTATGAGAAGGAGCGCTATCCTGCTAAGGAAATTGCCCTCTCCTGTGGTTTGTAATGTAATGGGCAGCACAAATGTCTTGATACCTCAAGCTGTTGATGTTGCCATCCCCTCTGCAGATCTCTCACACGCCCCCATACTGAATGTAACCCCAAACCAGGATTTTCCCTTCACCAAACTTGACTGATTTCTATGGGAATCTTGAGTCCATAACAGTTCCAAAAGGTCTTCTGCAGTATGTGTAATGATTGGGATGCAGTTCAACAGATGATTCATCAAATAAAAAAATCGACCTTCTGACACTTTTCCAAATTATCTATTATTATTATTTGTTGCTCTTACAATTGGCATCTATGACAAGACTTTTTTCATGCAGTAATGACGCTTTAATCAGAATCCCGAAGCTCCAATAACCACTGGCCATGCGCTGTGGAAGCAGAGAAGCTTCCAAGCATATCAGCATGCACCAAGACAACAAATGCAACACATCCACATTAGGGCTGCCCCCAAATAGTCGACTAAACTTTAGTCGATATGAAGAGGGCTTGGTCGAATACATTTTCATTAGTCGGTTAGTTGCAAAAAAAATTAAAAATCACGTGAAATTACGCAATCAAGGGCTGCGCAATCAGTGTATGACATCAGCAACGAGAGATCAACGCCTAACGCCTAAACGCCTCCACTGTATCCCTTCCACATCCACTCCATCAGAGCGCATCTTTTCAAAGGCCGGCTTCATTGTGAACACGTCGAGAAGCTCCCTTCTTCCCAGCAATGTGGACAAGCTGGTGTTCCTCTCACATAATATGAAAAAAATTAAATCGAATTGAAAGCTTAGGTAAGAATGCTTAATTTCCTTTTTGTAGTGTTTCTGTTTGCTATCCATTAGGCTATATATATAAAAAAAACGGGTATTTTATTTTTATATCGGGTAGGCTATACAAATAAATAAATACATATTATTTTTATTATATTTTATTTATTATAGAAGTTGTTTTTTATTCTGTTAGAAAAATTAGTCTGATGTTTTTAATTTGTTGTTTCAGGTCAAGACTCATCCGTCGTCTTAATGGCAGTTTGTGGCTTTGCTCTGATGTTTTTGATTTGTATTAGTGTTCTTTAAATTATTTGTTCCACATTTTGTCGTAAATATAGTTGCTCTAAACAATTCAATCATAATTAGGCTGTTAATTTGTTTGCTGCCTTCTTTTTTATTCTAAGTTTTGGCGTTGTGCGATGTGCATTTATTAAGTTGTTCATTTTTGTTAATTTTCCTTTTGAACAATATAAAAATTACATAAATTTTAATTTTCCACTGTATTTAAAAAAAATTTATTTTAAAAACAGTGTATTTTAAAAAAAAACTGCGTTTTTGCTACAGTATTTATTTATTTATTTATTTTTATTTTTTGCCTAGTTTTGTACTAGGCCTAAGTTGCTAATAAGTTTATTTGATTTATTTTGAAGAACAAATTTTTGTTTATTTTATTAAAAAATGTTTTTTTTTTTTGTTTGTTTGTTTGTTTCTAAATAAATTATTAAAATGCACAGGCAGTCTGATTGCTGTTTTTATGTCATAATTAGCCTATAACGTTCTGGTCACTGATTTTTGTGTGTAAGCACTGTATTTAAACGCTTTACTATTTCGTTTTAAGCGCTTAATTTTCGTTTTGAATGCGCTAATATCATGCTTTAGCATTTTCTGTCACGTGGAAGTGTTAAACTTCAACTTGGACTATATTCCTAGTATATACGCAAGTTATTATATTAATATCATAAATGAACGATTATTTGATTAATCGCTAAAATGCAGGAATGTTAGTCGACTAGGAATATCTTTAGTCGGGGGCAGCCCTAATCCACATATACGTATACGTCGACAAACAGCTGTTGCATTTCAAAACACAGGTCGCTCAATTTAACTAGAACCCACGTACGTAGATTCTAGCACATTCATGCGCCCATCGAAAACGAAATGTTGCATGAACACAAACAGGAATGACCAATTAGAGGTACTAAGCTGTACTTCTAGTGTCAGCATATGCATGGCTTCTCATGAAACGATAACAAGCTCCATGTGGCCACCACATGGAGATGACGGATACCAGACTGCACATGACGGACAGCCATATGACAAACAGAACTGGCAAGCCGCAGATCAGAAGCACATACAAAACGCTTGCCGAGTCGGACGGGTGGCTGTTACCTGGACGCTCACAGGGCTTTGAGGATACGGGTTGGAAAGAGGAGTAGAAGGAGACGGAGGACTCTCCTCCTTCACTACAGGCGATGGCCCGTCGAAGATGCATTCCAGCGATTCAACCTACAGAAGGGCATTCAACTCAGTGTATTACAATACAGGCTTGACTTGAATGTGTCTAGTTACATCATTGTTATCACGAGAACAGGATAAAGCCTAAGAATCAGCAAAACAGAGAGTCGTATGATAATGTTGATGGAACACAGATCATATATACGTAAGCATCTGAGTGGAAACTGAAAGACCATGATGCATATGACACAAATGTTAAACACATTAATATATGAAAAGCCTCTTGGGGTAATAGGTCATCCTCTAACCTGAACAGACCAGGGCGATGTCACTCCTACCTCAATGCATAAATACACAGCAGATGTTTACTGATTTTTCTGATGACTGCAATGACTTCTATAGAGCACAAGATGGCAACAGAACCCACTTCTGCAGCAGACTGAATTAATTCATCTCAAAGTGTCCATTCTTTTTAAATTGCTGTGTGCCAAGTATCTTTAGACAATTTTCTAATGACTTCGGATGGCATGTGTGAAAATGCACACACACCCCCAACACCTCTCTCTCTTTTTATAATTATATTTTAAGTGTACTGCTTTTACCTGCATATTCCTTTGTTGCATCAGATTTTACATACAAATAGCTTAAAATAAGAAATTAGTTGTTTTTTTTACTGAAAATAAACATAATAAAAATATTATTAAGGTTTAAAAATGTACTTTATTTGCAATTATATTAGTATAAATGAATATGTCTTAGAATATCTACAAAAACTACAAACATGTATTTAAATTAAAGCTGCGGCGGAAAATCTGAAACTAATCTGAGATTATTTAAATGTGTCGAAATTCTCTCTTGAATTTATTCCGAGCTTAGTTTTGGCCAGCAGATGCTCAATCTGCTCAGCTCCAATTCCTTATACACACTATTCAAACATATAATAATAATAATAATAATAATAATAATAATAATAATTAATAATCAATAGTTAGGAAGAGTTTTTTTATTACAAGAGTCTGCATAGTCAGATGTGTTTACATGTACAGTTGAAGTCAGAATTATTAGCCCCCCTTTGAATTTATTTTTCTTTTAAAAATATTTCCCAAATAATGTTTAACAGAGCAAAGAAATTTTCAGAGTATGTCTAATAATATTTTTTCTTCTGAAGAAAGTCTTTTTTTTTTTTGGCTAGAATAAAAGCAGTTTTTAATTTTTTAAACACCATTTTAAGGACAAAATTATTAGCCCCTTTAGGCTAATTATTTTTTTGATAGTCTACAGAACAAACCATCATTATACAATAACTTGCCTAATTAACCCAATTAAGCCTTTAAATGTCACTTTAAGCTGTATAGAAGTGTCTTGAAAAATATCTAGTCAAATATTATTTTCTGTCATCATGGCAAAGAGAAAATAGATCAGTTATTAGAGATGAGTTATTAAAACTATTATGTTTAGAAATGGGTTGAAAAGAGCCCCCTCTACTGTTAAAAAAACAGCCTAGAACACCCTCTGCTTTTAAAAACCAGCATAGAACACCCAGCCTAGAGCGCCCTTTGCTGTTAAAAACCAGCCTAGAGCACCCTCTGCTGTTAAAAACCAACATAGAGTGCCCTTTGCTGTTAAAAGCCAGCCTAGAGTGCCCTCTGCTGTTAAAAAACAGCATAGAGCGACAGCCTAGAGCACCCTCTGCTGTTAAAACCAGCATAGAGCGCCCTCTACTTTAAAATACTAGCTTAGAGCACAATCTGCTATTTAAAAAAATAAGCTAGAATAGAGATGAAAAAAGTAGCAGAATAGAGAAATTGATGCAGAATTGATTTTTTTGATTGTATTTTTTTTTTCACCACAGCTCTAATTTCAATTCTAATACATACAAAACAAGCATCTGTCATAAGGGCTATTGAGAGTCTCTAAGGAGATGCCGAGGTGACTCTCAGCTTGGGCCAAATCTCTAATGTAGGGGAGTGTCTGAGATTGATGGCAGGTTGTGAGGGAGAGTGGGGGAATAAAAAGGAGCCGGCTTAAGTGTGAGCAGTGAAGGTTATGAGAGACGGCAGGTGATATTTCTCATCTGTGGTTTGTTGTGTGCAGCTTCTGGCTCAGGCTCTGATCAGGGCGGAGGGGGGAAGCTTTGGGCTCATAAATCTAAAGGGAGAAGGAAGCACTGGAGCGCAACAGGACCAGAGCGAGAGCTTGTAAATGTTCAACCATACACACTACTACCTCCTGCCCGGACAGGATATTCACCTTCTCTGAACATAGTCAGAATGCTGCCTCAGTGACGAGACAAGAACTAAACATGGATCCCTATGGCCAGGTTGAATACTTCATGCAGTTCCATTAAGAAGGGTAGTCATTGTACAGCAACTGGATTTGACACCTGTGCCTCAAAGAATACAACCAAATCACTAAAGAAAAAATGCAGAGCTGCAGTTAATCCAGTAGTGGATGACAGGCATCCCGTTGGCCTTGAGTACAATGATTACCCTTATCAATAGAACTGCATGAAGTAATTAGCAAGATTATCCTGCTGAAACACAATAACCTAAACTTCCTAAATAGACAAATGTTTGCCAAAATGGACAGTTACTTCAAAGATTACAAGTCTTTTATAAATATAAGGTTTCCACTTCCTCCCCATAACAAGGCTAGCCTACCTCCATGTTTGAGCATGGGGGTGATGATGTTCTTCTGCTAATAATTCTTGTCTTTTTTCTACCCAAAGGCATACCCCGACCAATCACACCGTAAAACCTTCTTCCAGAACTTGTCAGATCCATCCAAATGAATGTTTGAATACTGAAGCTGGCCTTCTTTATTGTTAAGAGTGCTGTTCAACAAGGTGTCCTGACATGTCCGAGATGTGATCAAATGTTTTTCCTCCTTTCATCAGGTCATTTCATAAGACTTTTTTTTTCATCTGCTCTGATTAACAGTTTTCTTCTTCTTCAGCATTTTCAAAGGTTTTGTGGTACAACACATTTCAAAATGATCACTAAAGCTGCCAGCCGGGTGTTTAGAAACCTTTAGTGTCTTCTTGAAGCTATGGACTTTGTGATTGTGATGTACAAAACAATCTTCACAAAAGCTTGTGAGATATTTTAGCCATATTTGCTTCTTTACTTTATCACAAGCATGGGGTACTTTCATTTATGTGTAACTGCTAAAGCTGACTAGGTCTTATTAGAGGGTTTCCAAAAGCGTCGCTGTCTTCTAACACAATATTCATCCCCACCATAGAAATAAGTGAAAAAGACTGCCATGTTTAGTAGTAGATGAATAAGCTGAAATAGGAAGAATTACAAAACCCTGAAATATTATAGTATTATACAGTGATATGACTATTTAATATGCTGTTAAATTGTTATCTATACAATAAATAGGGATTTTTATTCCTAATTTACATATTGTGGGGCTGGGGGGGGGGGGACTGGGGGATAGGGGATTAGTTACCTTCAATGAACAGGACAGTAAAGATTGCAGACATGAAATTGTGAGAGAGTGAGAGAGGGAAAGGACCTTAAGCCAGGAATCAAACTTAGGTCACTATAAAAACTTCAGTGTTATGCGTCAATGCTCTACCACTCAATGCTCTACCACTCAATGCTCTACCACTCAATGCTCTACCACTCAATGCTCTACCACTCAATGCTCTACCACTCAATGCTCTACCACTCAATGCTCTACCACTCAATGCTCTACCACTCAATGCTCTACCACTCAATGCTCTACCACTCAATGCTCTACCACTCAATGCTCTACCACTCAATGCTCTACCACTCAATGCTCTACCACTCAATGCTCTACCACTTATTCTTGGCCAGGTTGTCGGGGCAGCAGTATCAGGACAGAACCCCATACTTCCCTCTCCCCACTTCCTCCAGCTCCTCAGAAGGGATTCCCAGGCTTGCCAAGAAACAATGTCCCTCCAGCCTGTCCTGGGGCTTTCTCCCAGTGGGAAAAGCCTGGAACACTTCCCAAGTTAGGCATAAAGGAGGCATCCAGAACAGTTGCCCGAGCCACCTCAGGTCTCTTCTCTCGATATGGAGGAACAGCGCCTCTACTCTAAATTCCTCCCAGGTGACAGAGCTCCTCACCCTATCTATCTTGCCACCCTGAAGAGGAAACTCCTGGTGGGACATGTCTGGAACACCACCCTAGTTAGGCATCCAAAACAGTTGTCCGAGCCACCTCAGCAGGCTTTTCTTGATGTGGAGAAGCAGTGGCTCTACTCTGAGTTCCTTCCGGGTGACAGAGCTCCTTACCCTATCTACCTTGACAACCTGCAGAGGAAACTCATGGTGGGACATGCCTGGAATACCGTCCTAGTTAGGCATCCAGAACAGTTGCCCGAGCCACCTCAGCAAGCTTCTCTTGATATGGAGAAGCAGTGGCTCTACTCTGAGCTCTTCCAAGGTGACAGAGCTCCTCACCCTATCTACCTTGCCACCCTGCAGAGCCGGTGGGACATGTCTGGAACACCTCCCTAGTTAGGCATCCAGGAGGCATCCAAAACAGTTGCCTGAGCCACCTCAGCAGGCTTCTCTCGTTGTGAAAAGCAGCGGCTCTACTCTTGAGAGCCTCGCGGGTGACAGAACTCCTCACCCTATCTACTCTGCCACCTTGTGAAGCAAACTCATTTTGCCCAAATTTATCTTGAAAAATAGAAATATTCTGCAATTTTTTAGTACAAGTAGCCTTTAGCATTGTGTATAAATCTGTCATTATATTTTGTCCTATACAGTGATCAAAATCTAGCACTAGCATACTCGCTTTACTGTAAGTGGAGACATGGCTAATGGCATTCCCACTGAACCAAGTGCACTGGTGGATTAAGAAAAAATCAAAACTAAATAGACACAGTCTATTTATCTAGCGCAGGGGTGGCGAACCTGTTTGGCATGATGAGCCAAAAAAAAAACTTTATCACTGCAAAGAGCCACACAACAGATGTGCAAACAACAGTATATCTGTCACAATAACTTATACACCTAATTATATAACGCAATAGTTTTCATGGATTTAAATTAGCCTACCTCATTTTACTTGACTCAGTGAGACACCTGACATTCCTTGGTTTCCACAATCTTTTTCAGGTCTGGCTCGTATTCAGTTGTGGCTACTCGTAGAAACTCTTTCACATGTGTGTCAGTAAGAACAGAGCGATGCTTTGATTTCACTAGTTTCAGTGTAAAATCCCATTCAGATAAAAATGTTCTGCCCTCATCTTCGTATTTACGCTTAGCTGTACGCTTTCCTGACTCTGCCATGACGATTGATATTAACGAACTGCACGTCACTCGTGTTGCGCCCCAATCAAACGGGGCTTCAGTGTCAACCCTTGACTGAAGGCGTGTCTGAATGGAAGCGTCAGAAAATAAAATTCAGTCAGCAATAGGCCACTTTCTAGCAGGTGTATTTGCATACAGCGATCTGATTGGCTGACGCGTCCGTAAGCGCTTGAAAAGTTTAGCTACTCCCAGCTTCTGCAGCGAGCAACATGAAGCCCCGTGTGAATGGGGCATTAGTCAATTGGTTATTATATGTTAAATCGCGCAAGAGGTTGAGCCGCACAAAAGCAGAAAGAGACGCAGAAGCCCCGTGTGAATGGGGCGTTAGTCAATTGGTTAATGTATGTTAAATCGCGCGAGAGGTTGAGCCGCACAAGAGCAGTAAAAGAGCCGCAAGCGGCTTGCGAGCCGCGGGTTCGCCACCCCTGATCTAGCGTTTCCTCATTTTGAGCACTAGTGGGGAAAAGGTAGCTTACTGTACAAAAAGCAGTACTCTGGCTGTCAAGCTAATTGTTGAAATAATGCAAGGAGGTCGAGGGCATTCAAAATCCCTAAGCGTGTGTTAGTGTTGTGTATGTAAAATGTGAGGACAAAGTGTAAACAAACTCCATAGCAGAATTCAGACAACAAAGTGATCAACAACATGGCAAATGTAAACACAGGTATGAAAATATATTTTATAACCCAGCCTACCTTCATTGGGGAGATATGTGAATGTGCTACAAAGCCATGGACATTTTCAATCTGGGAGAGGCTCTTCTCAGCCACTTGCACCAGCTCAGGCCCAGGAGTATCATCGGTGAACTGTGGCGAACTCGGCTCCTGTGGAGATCCTGTGTCTTCATCTTGGTGTCTGTACTTCTGCAGAGAACAACAGGAAAAAGGTTTTCAGTCATCCTGAGAATAATTCGGATCTGTGGTTTGTTCCAAATGTAGGAAGGCACAATGATTTTGGCATCTTCAGAGGAGGTAGTCCCAAAATGTATTAAAGCACAGGTGTCAAACTCAGTTCCAAAAGGGCCGCAGCACTGCACAGTTTAGTTCCAACCCTAATTAAACACACCTGATCAAACTAATTGAGTCCTTCAGGCTTGTTTGAAACCTACAGGTAAGTGTGTTGGAGCAGGGTTGGAACTTTTGAGTTTGACACCCCTGTATTAAAGGGTTAGTTTATCCTGTTATTAATAACTCACACTCATGTTGTTCCGATGCCCCAAAACCTTTGTTTATCTTCAAAACACAAACTAAGATCATTTTTTTAGATAAAACCAGAGAGCTCTCTCATCCACCATAGACAACAGCAGTCTAAAGATGTTCAAAGCTCAGAAAAGAACCAAAAACATCGTCAACGCTTTCAATGGTTTACTTGTAATCAAATGGAACTCTAAAAACACTTTTGTGCATTAAAAAAAAAACTGTTTTAGGCCGGGACACATGAAGTCGATGGTCAGTTGCTGGGTTTCATCAGTCCGTCAGTTAGGCTAGTTCAGGGGTGTTAAACTTAATTCCTCGAGGGTCACAGCCCTGCAGAGTTTAACTCCAGCCCTGCTTCAACACACCTATCTGTAGGTTTCAAACAAGTCTAAAGCACTCAATTGGTTTGATCAGGTGTGTTTATATATTGGAGCTAAACTGTGCAAAGCTGCAGCCTTTCAGGAACTAACTTTGACAGCTGTGAGCTAGTTGGTTTGGTGTTTTCCACATGGTGCATCTGAACGGGTTAATGTCAAAGCTCGTTGGCGTGAACTAGCATATCAAATCAATGTCAGACTATCTGATGAAGAGAACAATCTAATTGTTTATTCAAAAACGAATCAAAGCGCGAGTGTGACGTAGTGAAGTGACGAAGCAAGTAAACACTTCAAGTCAAGAAGAAACACAAAGAGGTTGCCTTTAATTTCACTTCATTTGTCAAATATTTGCAAAAAAATGTGGATTATTAGATTATCAGACATATTTGCACGAGCGAATCCCTCCATGGTAAGACAATTACTGTGATAATAGTAGTAATTATGCTTTGTTTACATGTGGTCGGTGTGTTTCGGAAATTCGGTTTCCCTTTGTTGAATGGGAAAACAGACAACTGCCCCCCGCAGAGCAAAAAGTCACGTCTTCTTGCACAGACGCAGAATGCGGCTATCGTTTCAGTCAGCTTTCGTTTGTTTGGTATGGTTTCACGTGTTGATTTTTGATTGAGATGCAATCCAATGTGAGGAGACAACACAGTTGGGTTTCATGCTGCTAGTTGTTTGGCATTGGCACTGCTGACTCTAATGGCAAATATGTAGTAAACGCACACCCTGCCAACCTGACGTAAAAGATTAAATAGGCGAACAAACTTGTTTTGGCACACAATAATAGTGTTCTTGGAGCTTTGCATGATTAGATTTGAACCACTAAAGTGAAATGTTTTGACAATGTTTCCTTTTCTGATCTTTTCATTACCATTGCTGACAATGAATGATCCGGTTAGCTTAATTTGTCTCAGGGGATTGAAACTAAGGGTGAAATTTTTTTTATTTCTTATTCTAGATTTCAACTAATATAGAAAAAATTCCAGAGCAGTAATGTAAAGGCTCGTACACACCGGGACGCTTTTCGTTTGCATTTATCTTCAGCGTTTTTAAGACATTTTTCCGGATTCAAACCCAAGCGATTTTCATTGGCGTCGAGCAGAAGAGTTTGCAAAAACCTTTCTTGACATTAGATGGCGCTACACAACTTCTGACACCTGCTTGTAACACAGAAGAAGAAGACAAAGTTGACACGCTTGTTGTTAAAGTTACTGGCGATTCGAACAAGCATGGACCGTTCAAGTAGCAGCTCCAGCTCTAGCGATGAAGAAACGATTATTGTTGACCAGAGCAATAAGCAGCTCCACGTTCATATCGCCTCTGGGCATCTTCTTCAATGTGCGCTCTTGTAGACAGTTTTGCTCTTGAGCACCTCCAAGTGCTGTTAACTGTAACTTCAGCAGCTCCGTGCACTTGAACAAAAGTGCCAATCTGATTGGTGGAGAAGGTTTGACGCAGCAGGACAAAACCAAATAAACGAGCATGAGGTATTTTTAGAAAAATGACGCTTTCACGCCTGGATTTTTCGCATTGGTGTGCACGATCACATTGTCGCCCTTTATTTAGTCACGAGGCATTAAACGTCGACAGAAAACGCAAGCAAAAAACTTCTCGGTGTGCCTTAAGATTAATTCCTTCAATTCTGAATAACAGCAATAGATAATGTAATCATAAAAGAACCTGTGTGTTGTAACATCATGTTTAGCTACATGCTAATGAAAACTGCAATAAAGCCGATTAAATAATGTCTCCTTTGAGAAGATTTATGTATTGAGATTATGATATAGAGTCACTTTATGACGTTCTATAATGGAATGCTGCCTTAGAACACAGCTGTCAATGTAGGCGGTAGTCATTAACATGTCTAAGTCATGTTCAGGCAATTATTAAAATTAAATTCAAATGCAATAGGTGCTGAAGATTGAAAAATTATTTCGCTGCAGATACTTTAATCCTGAAATCTAGAAATAGTGTTTCTTGACTCGATGATACAAATACCCATGGGCTTATTTTTCAATAGTATATAGCTAAAAGAGAGCTGCAGTGGGGGGCGAGATTTTAAGCAAATAACAGTCTGAGATATCTAAGGCAGCCCAATACAGATCCTTATACACAATAAAGATCAAACATTCTTTCACAGTGCATTTCATGTCATTTATAAGCACAAAAGTTCTGTCAAAATGATTTCAAACTGGATCTGTGCATTAAGACCTATAGCCGCTTCGTACTACATAAAAATAAAAAATCATGCCGTTTTTAAAGAAAATAAGCAAGTAATGGATTTATGTATACTTCAATATTTTAAAGAATGACTTTTTTTTATTCTAGAAACACAGAGGACCATCATCAACAGATCCCCCTGCACTACAGCAGTGATTTCACATCACAATGAATGGGTTCCCTCCCTCTGAAATACAGTGGCACATGCTTACACAGAAAGCCAGCTGATGAGCCGTTTCCACACAGGCGGAGAACACCCACAGTTGCTATAGCAACAGGTTTATCAGCTACTGTCTACTTCTCACCATAGGTAACAGCAGTGTGATTCAAGCAGCCTTATTTAAATCCGACACAAGGCTCACTGGATTGGTTCACCCACCTCGCTTTATGCGTTTCCATGATGAATAATCAAGAGCCATGGGAAACTCTGGATGTCATTCACAAATTTGAAGAACATTTAGTTTGATGCTAACCTAGATCTGAATTTTAAGTGTAAGTCTACATCTTAATGCTGTATTTAAAAGCAGCTGTTTAACAAAGCTGTCACATTCTTTTAAAAGTAATCAGGAATAGTCGAACAAAGTGTCCTCTGCTTTCATTTATTGGTAAAAAAAAGTTGTTCAAACTTCAGTTTAAAGAACCTCTTGGAGCCACAAGAAGGCAGGGTTTTTAATAGTTAAAAAAAATCCACATAAAATCAAAATTAAAGTCTAAGGTATGTAATATAAATAAATATCCTAGCCTTAAGGGGTAAAACCATAAGATTAATTATGGTTTGGTTTGTATCACGGATTTAGGGTCACAGTTCAGTAACAAGAAAAAAGAAAATAGAAAGACAGTCGAATAAAAATAAAGAAATAAATCAATATACTAGCAAAAGCACAACATAGCAGAGGTATAACAATAGGATTATGCATGGTTTGGTTTGTAGTGGGTAGCACGTTCGCCTCACAGCAAGAAGCTCGCTGGGTCGCTGGTTCGAGCCTCGGCTCAGTTGGCGTTTCTGTGTGGAGTTTGCATGTTCTCCCTGAGTTCGCGTGGGTTTCCTCTGGGTGCTCCAGTTTCCCCCACAGTCCAAAGACATGCGGTACAGGTGAATTGGGTAGGCTAAATTGTCCGTAGTGTATGAGTGTGTGTGTGAATGAGTGAATGTGAATGTTTCCCAGAGATGGGTTGCGGCTGGAAGGGCATCCGCTGCGTAAAAACTTGCTGGATAAGTTGGCGATTCATTGCGCTGTGGCGACCCCGGATTAATAAAGGGACTAAGCTGACAAGAAAATGAATGAATGAATGAATGAATGAATGAATGAATGAATGAATGAATGAATGAATGAATGGTTTGTATCACGATTTAGGGTCACAGTTTAGTAAAAAAAAAAAAAAAAGATAGTCAAATAAAAATTAAGAAATAAATCTACTAGCAAAAGCTCAACATAGCAAATGTACTGATAGAATGGTTGATGCTCTTCAGATCTAACAGGTACAGTCTTTTCCAAGTAGAGAAACTGAAAACTACAATGTACATACAGTAGTCAGAGAGATCAATACCTTTTAAGACCATTTTAAGACGCTTTTCATATATTTTAAGACCTTATCGCCACTTTACAGGTTTCAGCCTGTAACATTGGTGACATTTCAACTTACAGTATATTTGCTAAATACAGATTGTAACAAACCAATCCTAAACTAAGGGCTCTATCTTAACGATCTATGTGCAAAGTCTAAAGCGCAAAAGCGTTAAGGATGGAAAAATACAGTTTGCGCTCTGGCGCATGGTCTAACAGGGTTGTGCTTATTCTTTTAATGAGTTATGGGTGTGTTATAAGCATAACATGCATTAAACCAATCAGAGTCTTATCTCCCATTGTCAGGGTTCTGCCACTATGGTCTTTTAAATTTTTGTTTTGGTGGCAGAGTTCGGATCCCAGTTGTAAGAGCAACAAATAATAACTCAACTTCTACTTGATCATTTGGAAAAGTGTCAGAAGGTCGATTTTTCTGTTGAATCATCTGTTGAACTGCATCCCAATCATCACACATACTGCAGAAGACCTACTGGAACTCACA